TCAGAGCCCGAGAAAGAACCTGAGATTGCGGAGAAGGAGGAGCTGGCGATCAGGCTGCCGCTTGCCTTGATGTTTCATCTATTCATTACCGTCTCCTTCCTGCCCACAGTGGTCACACCCTTTCCAGAACTTCTTGGCTGGTAAGCACGAAGCCGACTGGGAGCTAGAGGTCGGAGTACTAGAGAAAACCGCTCTAATCTGACTTGCCTCTGCCTGGGAGCTGACGCTGCAAGGAATAACCAACATTTGCAAAGCACTCTCAACAGGTACTAACTAGCCCATTTGATCCTGAACTCTGCATCGTGAGGTCTGGATATTAGTATTCTGTTTTGCAAAAGTGGAAATAAAGCTTAGACAGCTCTAGTGATGTGCATCCGAAGGGGCATGGGATTTGGATTCTGACCCCACCTGCTGTGCTCCGCCTCGGTCCTCTCTAAGATGAACTTTCAGTTGAGAAAGTTTGTTCTCCTTGAGTTCTGGCGTCCTCTGCATGAATCTCCCTTGGACTGGAGACAGTCAGTATCCAGGGTGAATGTCCAACACAATCCTGATGCCCTTCTCAGCCTGAGTTACCCATTTTCCTATTTCCATGGAAATTCCTATCCTTGAGTTCTTTCAAAGGCTAGATGTATTCAGAGCCTCAGGAAAGTCTTCACCAGGGTTAATCCATTACAGACACCCCTCATCCTCATCCCTCCTTGCTGGGGCAGTGTAAGGCCTGGGAAATTGAGTCTGGGGGTCATTTACAGTTTTTCAGAGATTGGCCTAGGCCCAGCCTCACAATACCCCATCTCTCAGACCGATCCCCCTCCTCTGAAATCCTCGCCCTTCTTAAAATCGACACTGGATTGTTCCACCTGATTAGTGCCCCCAAATATTGTTGGTTTTGCTAACAAAATTCTCCCTGAAAGTGAATATTCAGATTTGTACTTTGTAAGGTGCTTCCAATCCATGACCTCATTGACCTTCACAACTACTTCTTGTGAGATAAATTTTACTGTCTCCATTTTCAAGATGAGAAATCAGTGGGCCAGGAAAGTGATGTGACTTACAATGAATGACTGAGCTGTGATTTCCCTCCCACACAACAGCTTTCCTGGAGCATCAAGTTGACTCCAGCCTCCCACCCCGCCAACTATTGGCTATACTAAAATAGGATATTTCTTTCTAGTGGAGAGGGTAGAGCGCAAGGCTTCTCTGTCTCCCGGTGTCTTCATCCTCCATGTCATACTGACCCAGAAGAGTTGCAGCCCCATTTCAAATCCCTATAGTAAAACTAATCCCAGAGAAGCCCAGGGAACCTCCAGAAGCTCTCGTAAAAGTTTCCCCTCTTCCCTAATTGGCAGGGACAGGAAAGACTCTCCCTTCTCTGCCCAGGCTCACTCTGGTTCTCATTTTGATTCCTTCTGCTTGTTGAGAGGAGTGAGTCACCCTGGAGAAGCTCTCACCTGTGCTTGTGGCCCTTGTCTTCTCTCTCATGCCACAGGCTCTGGAATGACTCATCTCAGATTCCTCCAGAACTGAGCCCTTTGCTGGACCCATGACCTGGCTGACCACATTGAAGCAAGATGCTCCAGCAGGTAAAACTTCACCCTTAGAAACCCAGGCCCCTTCCCATCTTTTGCTTGTCTGAATGAAGTTTCACTGTCCTGACCTGGAAAGGAGGGAAAGACCTCTTAAAGGTCTTTTCTTTCTTCAGATAGTTATTCCAATGCCTTTCACCTGTTGTCAAGAACCTCTTCCTGATATCAATTTTGAATCTCTTGTTGTATTTTTTAGCTCTTTCCCCTGGGATGGGTAAGGGAATCCTGAGGGCACTTTGGTGACCTCACAAGCCTAACTAGTAAGGAGGTCCTGAGAGATGTCCCTGCCATCCTAAATTGTTGAAGTACAGTGGAAGCCTGGAGCTTCCAAAAGGAGGTGTTCCTTGAAGCTGAGTCTTAAAGAATAAGTAGGAATTAGCCAAGTGGAGAAAGAAAACAAGCAGTCCAGGCAAAGAGGTCTGCCTGTGCAAAAATGTGGGAGATGAACTATGTGGCAATAGAGAAGGATTCTGATGAATGGATCAGCGGGTGCATGGGTTACTATTGGGATATGAAACCTACCCTTAGTCCCGAACTTTTTGCCCCTCTGAAAAGGCTACTATGGCCCCAGGCCTGCAGGATTCCAAATTACCCTTCACTGTAGAACCTCATCTCATACCCATAACATCCCTCACATGCAGCTCTTGGTCCAGAGAGATAATTGCCGAGTAGATAATTGCCGAGTTTTTATTTACTAAGTGTTGCCAGGCACTGGGCTGAGGCAGATATTTAAGATGATACCTGCCCTCAAGGAACTCATGGTCTAGTGGAGTCCTAGGTAGTAAATTCCTGAGATTCAGCAGTGCCTGAGTGTGAGGCCAGCCAGCCTCAAGGGAGCCATGGTAGACACCACTGCTTGACCTTTCAGTCTTTTGGCTCATGAAACGGGCTTGAAGGCTAGAGAGAGGCAGGATAGATGTCTGCTCTGGACTTTTTATTGTTTGTTTTTAACTTTTTTTCTTATTAAAATAGCAGTAATGTTCATTATCATAGTAGCAGCTACTCTCTGTTGAGCCTTTGCTATGTAGTAGGCACTATGCTAGCATTTTACACATGTAATTTTGTTTAGTCCTTGAGAAAGATACAGTATTATATACAGTGCTATTATGTCCTCATTTTGGATAAAGGGCTCAGAGAGGTTAAGTGACTTATTCAAGGTCACATTCATTATAAGAAATGTGGAAAATAATAGATAAGCAAAAAAGAACATTAAGATTAACCATGATTGTACTACCTAAAAATAACCAACATTTTAGAGAGTATCTTAGACTTTTTTTTCACCTATATATATTTTAAAAACATTTTCAAGGTATCATACTTTTTTGAAACCTGCTTTATTACATTATAAGGATATTCTATAAGCTGTCTACTACTTGGAAATTTGTGTTTTCACCTTTTTACAGTTATAAATGTTTCTATGTATACCGAACATTTTTATGGCCTTTATGTAGGATCATTTTTTAGAAGCAGAATTGCAGGCTTAAGCGACACATATAGTTTTAAGGCCCTTGATAGATTATTGCCTAATTAGAACAGCTGCTCTTAAAAGAATACCAGCTAACTTTTGGGGGCATATACCAGGTGCCTTTTTAAAATATTTTATGCATTTATTAGCATCTCTGACATGGGTGCTACCACCATTCCCATTTTACAGATGGGGAAAGTTGAAGCACAAAGATTTAAAAATTTACATAAGATTATACAACTAGTAAGTGGAAGAATCAGGATTCAAACCCAGGCAGTCTAGCATGCAAGTTCAGGCTCCTGATCATTATACTCGGCTGCCTCTGGTTGGATCAGAGCTGTTCATAAATTATGGGTGGGTTTGTGAGTAATTTTTTTCCCCCACTAAAGCAGAAGGATTTGCATGGTTCAGCCATGCTCTTATGCACTTATTCTGGAAGCCAAGAGCCTGACTTGTGCTTTTGTGGACCCAAGTTCAGAGAAGAGGCAACATCTTTGGAAAAAAAACTGTTACTGGGCTTCTCAGATGACACTTGCTACCTTGAGGGGTTTGAACTTGTATGGCTCACTAGTCTCATTGGAAACTCATGCATTTTTCCTCCAAAAGCAAATTTCAGCCAGGTTACTGTCTTCTATTCCCACCCCATTTTCCTTACAGCCCTGGGAGACTAGAGGAGAAAAAGAGAGAGGAAACATGTGGAAAGTGTTGGCACCAAGCATGGGCAAGGGAGAGGTTTTCCCTTGGTGCCTATTCTTGACCTCATCTGACTTCTGAGCCAGCGCAGAGGAAACTAATTATGTAATGAGCCGGCTTAAATTTAAGCCCCAAGAGGCAAGTGATGAAAGCATGAGGCTACCTTACAGCTGATTTTTCATCTCAAGTTGAATGGTTTCTTTCAAAAAAGGCCTAAACCATGGTTCTTTTCCTTTGTGATATTCCTATAGCAGCCCTCCACCATGGGTCCCACCTCTGCCAGGCCCAGTAAGGCTAGTAGCTGGCCAGCCTGGAAGCTGGAGCTCAGGCATAGGAGAGGGGATACCACTTATTGATTTATTGAGTGCATACTGTGTGCCAGGCACTAAGTGCTTTGTATATCTCTTCTTACTTTTCTTCTCCATGGCCCTGTGAACTGGATTTATTTTCCTTATTTACAAATAAGCTGGTTCAGAGAGGTTAAGTAACTTACCTAGGCTCTTAGGCCTGGTAAGCGGCAGATCTGAAATTTGAGCCCAACCATACTATGATGCTAGAGGCCTTTTGTCTTTCTACTGTATAGGCCTCCACCTCTACAGAGCTGCCAGCTGGTCTGAGCCCCAGCTCTCCTGGCCTTGTTATTCCCTCCCAGGTGAATGGCCACAGTTCAGGTCCCAATGCCCATGGTGGAGAACTCAGAGAAGACTTGCAGGAGTTCCTGGGCCAGGACACCCCATTGCACCTGCTGGATGACCTCACCAAGGTGAATCCTGTGACACTAGAGACAGGTATGGGCCTCCTCCTCTAGAGTGCCATCTCCAAGAGGGTGGAGGTATGGTTTAGGTATTTAGCACAGCTTCCCCTGGCCAGACTGAGGCAGGCAGGACTCCTGACCTGGAGCCAGATCAGCTGTTCCAGACCTGCCTGGCAGCTGCACCTGGGCTCTCAGCACAGACTTTGCTCCAGATTTGGCATTCATCTTAATTAGATCTTGTGCCTATTCATCAGGGAGCTGCTGGGATCTAATGGCTCTTGGCTAATTGCAGAGGGAGCACTGTTAGGTGGATGTTTGTCTGTGTGTACTTGTGTCTACTTTTGAGCTAGAGTTTGCTAAAGGCACCTTTGCCTCAGTCCTGAGGTGTTTGCAGGCCCGGTACATGGCAGACACATTCTACACCAATGCTGGCTGCACCCTGGTGGCTCTGAACCCCTTCAAGCCCGTCCCTCAGCTCTACTTGCCAGAGCTGATGAAAGAGTACCATGCTGCTCCTCAGCCCCAGGTAAGACTCAGCTACTTCCTGGGCCTGAGGGCTCCCCTACCTTATCTACTGCCTCTCTACCCAACAGCCCTCTCCCACCTAGGCCTCTTTGCAGCTTCTCTGTCTTTATCCATCGATTCACCAGCCATGCAGTTATTCAAAACCTGCCAGTACCACAGCCCTGCCCACTAGGATCTCGAAGAATTTTGGACACATGACTGTGATACAAAGTAGGAGATAAATAAATATTTGTTTAACTGAGTTTGGAACCTGAAATAAGGCCATAGGACAAAGTATTTTTTCTTTTTTGTGACTATTAATAGGAAAGGATTTACAAAGTGTATTTCTGTATTTAACAAACCACTTTTTCGGAAAAGAATAAAATTACATGTGATAAGGATTGCCCTAGAAAATTCAGCATACGTTCATCTAGGAGAATGGTAAATTCTGATGGGGATGGGGATGGGAGTGGTGCAGGCAGGGAATAGACTAGTTGTGTCCGGGGAGAGGCAAGGTCAGACTTGCTGGTGGGAGGGGGCTGTTGAGTAGAGAGGCAGTAGATGAGGTAGGAAGAGAAATAAGCTGAGGCTGGTGCTGAAGGGTCTGAAGCACCACAGTAGGCAGAGAGAGTTCGCAAAGCTTCACCAGGAGTGGAGGTGGGACTAAATGGAGCCTACTGTGGGGATAATTACTCTGGAAGTTGGGGAAGTTGTGTTCAGGAAGGTGAGACAGGAAGCAAGGAGAACAGTTGGAGGCTTTGTAACAGTCCAGGTGACTGGGGCAAAAGCAGACTGAGAGACTGCTCTGACACCATCCAAAACTATATATTCTCCAGGAAGCTGTGGGCAAGTGATCATTGCTGGGTGGGCAGTGTTAGGCTGACTAGGCATTATGCAGATGGCCTGGCCCTCCAGAAACTCATGCGTGGTTAAATGTCCAAGTGGAATCCATGTGAAGTCTGTCCTAAGAGCCCATATCTAAACTGTCTGCCTCCTCAAAGGCAGAAGCCATGTCACTGTCCCTTCTGTTTCCCCAGTGCCCAGCTTGATGCCCAGCACATTGAGGATAACATTTGGTGATGGAAAAGAGAACAGTACCCTTGAGATTCAAATCACACTTGCTATGCACTTACTATCTGAGTGGCCTCAGAAAGGTTCTTTAACCCCTCAGAACCTCAGATTTCTCATTTAAAAAATAGGGTTAGCTAGCCAACTAATGCACAGACTTCTTAGGCAGTAACTTGGAAGAAAGTTCTCTGCAAACTGCAAAGTACTATAACGTAAAATAATAAAGAGCAGAATAAAACTATTAAGATAAGATAGGAGGATGATGTGTTCAAGGCCAGCACTGCTTCCAGACTGAGAGAAGATGAGTGGGTAAAGGCGCAGTTGGGCCTAACACTGTTATATCTAGGAAATTTTTCTAGAGGAAGCCTCCCTATCTCAGCCATCATTGGATTAACCACTCCTTAAAGACAGGCATTTCCTCATGTGACCTTTCACCCCTTCATGTTTCAGAAACTGAAGCCCCACATCTTCACCGTGGGTGAACAGACCTACAGAAATGTCAAGAGCCTGATCGAGCCAGTCAACCAATCTATTGTTGTCAGTGGAGAGAGTGGTGCTGGAAAGGTAGGAGGGCCTCTTTCCCACCCTGTCAGCTTCGTGACTTGGCTGGGTGAACAGAGAGGCAGGGAGTCGTTTGTTTCACTCATTTAGTTTCTATATGCCTATTGCTAAATTATTACCAAACTTGTCACCAGAGCTTTTCCAGCCTATCTAACTGGCAAGAACATCAGGTCTTCCCCCCGCCCCCCACCCCACAATGCCCTTCCGAGAGCTCTCAGATCATCTACTCCAGTCTGGACTGGTGGCTGCCTAGGACTGCTGCCATACAGCTATTACCTGGGAGCTTTCTGCTTCACTCTAGGGATCAAGATTACCCTCTGTCCCATAATAAATCCTCCATTGCTGGAACCCATGGCTTCTGCTGCTTTTACTGCCTTGTTTTTATGGAGCGCATCCTTTAGTAGCTTCCTGACAAAAGTGGTAAATGAAAGGCAAATTTTTGCATTATTGCACATCTAAAAATGTTTATTCCACTTCAAATTTGATATGTTGTCTAGGTTTTATAATTGCACATTGGAAATCATTTCATTTCCAAATTTAGAAGTTTTTTTTTTATGTGTTATTTTGAATGTTGCTGTTGAGAATCCCAATCCATAGTGATTTGTTTTTCCTTTCCAAAAGCTTTTGGGGTCTTATTTTTCTCTGCATAGGTATTAAAATTCACAGTGATGGATCTTGGCATGGTCTTTTTTCACCTACTATGCTGGATACTTTGTTGTGGGTCTTTTTAATTTGGAAATTCATGTTTTTTTGGGGGGAAATTTTTTTTTATTATATCTAATCATTTAATCCCCTCTGTTTTCTCTTTCTGGAGCTCCTGTTAATAGGGAATTTGATTGTCTAATATCTTTCTCACCTATTCTATCTCTTAGCATTTTGTTCTATCTTCTAGGAGATGTTCTCTACCTTTCACTTTTTTTTTTTTGCCTCTTAAAAAATACCTTTCAATTTTCTTGAATTTAGAATTTTTTTTCTTCCTTGTTCTCTGAATATTGTTTTTCCCCCAGCATCTTATTTCATAGGTTTAGTGTGTTCTCTTATCCTTGAGAGTATTTCATGATTTTTACTTGTCTTCTCTTTACATTAACTCTTTTAGCTCCTTTTCCTGCGATTGTTGTTGTCATTCATGTAAAAAATTTATGTAAAAGAACTTTATCAAATAGTTAATGATCCTTGAATTTCTGTTCATACTTAATAATAAGGCATTAAGCAACTGATTAGAATCTCTCTGTTAATGTATAGGAGGCCTCACTATAAGTAGCTTTCTAAACTTGTGGGACCATGAGTGTTTGTAACTTTTCTTACAAGTTTGTCAGTGTCTCCAGAATATTTTTCCAATCTCTTCATCAGAGAGATGGAAACTATAAATATTTAAATGGAAATGATAAAAATTTAAAACATGATGAACAGTTTCTTTATGCTTATCAGCAGACTAGACATGCAGAAGAATACATCAGTGAACTTGACAGTAGGTCAATAGAAATCCAAATTGAAAAATAAAGTGCATTCAAGAGCTGTGATACAATATCAAATTGTTTACCATACTTGTAATTGGTGTCCCAGGAGAAAGAGAACATGAGTCAGAAGTAATATCTTACAAACTTAACAAAAGATGGCAAGTACAGATCCTAGAAGTTCAGGAAACACTAAGCTAGATGAAACAAAGAATACACCTAAACACATAGTCAGATTGCTGCAAACCAAATGTAAAGAGAAAATCTTAAAGCCAGGAAACTAAACATTACGTAAAGAGAAACAAAGAATGACAACAGGCATCTTGTCAAAAACTGCAAGCCCAAAGATAATGGAGTGACATCTTTAAAGTGCTGAAAGAAAATATCTGTCAACCTAGAATTCTATTACTAGCAAAACTGTCTTTCAAAAATGAAAGTGAAATAAAGACTTTCAGAGAAAAGTTAGGGAATTAATTGCCAGCAGATCCGTACTACAAGAAATATTAAAGGAGGTTTTTTAGGCCAAAGGAACATGAAACCCAGTGAATATTTAGGTTGATACAAAGGAATAAAGAATACTGGAGATGTAAAAAATTATTTTATCTCTTTAAAAATAATTTACTCTAAAACAAAAATGGTAACAGTTTATTGTGGAGATACAATAGAATCTAAAAGTACTAAATTCAACTTTAAGCAATAAAAAAAGTAACAAAGATCACAAAGAACAAATCGAAAAGAAATAAGATGGTCTACGGCCATGCCATCCTGAACACACCCAATCCTGTCTGATCTCAGAAGCTAAGCAGGGTTAGTACTTGGATGGGAGACCACCTAGGAAGACCGGGTGCTGTAGACATTAAAAAAAGAAAAAGAAAAAAGATGGTAGATTTAAACCCAACCGTAGTAATTATTACATTAAATGTAAATGGACTAAACTTTCCAATTAAAAAACAAAGAATGTCAGATTGGACTTTTTTTTTTTTTTAATAAGACTCAAATTACATGATATCTTTAAGAAACCCAATATAATTATTAAGACATAGATTCAAAGTAAAAAAAAAAAAAATGGGAAAAAGATATACTATTCCAACACTAATCAAAGGAAATTTGAAGTAGTTATGGTAATATGGAAGAAACTAGATTTTAGAACAAGGAATGTTACTAAGGTAAGATGAGACATTTCATAATGATAAATTGGTATATTCATCAAGAAGAAAAAATAATACTAAAGTATATATCTACTAATGATTTCAAAATACACGAAGCAAAAACTGATAGAATTGAAAGCAGAAATAGATAAAATTATAGTTTGAAATTTGAGTGTTTTTTTCAAGTACACATAGAACATTCACCAATGTTGAACGTATTCTGTCATAAAACAAATCTCAATTTGAAAAGATTAAAATCATACAAACTTCTCTATCCTAAGGAGAATAGAACTAGAAATAAATAGAAAATCCCAAAACATTTGGAAATTAAACATTCTTTTAAATGTCCGAAGGGTCAAAGATGAAAACATAAGGGATATTTAGAAAATTGTTGAACTGAATGAAAATGAAAGCACAACTTGTCAAAATTTATGCTTTAAAAATAAAAGCAGTGCCTCCAGAGAAATCTGAAGCATTAAATGCTTATATTAGAAAAGAATAGACAATTCAAATCAATTATCTGAGCTTCTACCTTAAGAAATTTGGGGAGGGGGAGATAGAATAAGGTAAACCCAAAGTAAGCAGAAAAAGGAAATAAAGTGAAAAACCAATAAAATAGATAACAAAAATAATGAGAACTAGGCTATTTTTTAAAAAAGATTAATAAAAAATTGATAACTCTGTATTCAAAGACAGAAAAAGACACAAACTACCAATGTTAGAAATAAAAAAGATATAACTATCTAAATAAAAATCATAACACTGATAAAAGATTATTATGAACAACTTTATTCCAACAAATTCTACAATTTAGATGAAATGGAGAAATATTTTGAAATATACAAAATGTTGAAGCTCATATAACCTGAAGTCTATAAAAGAAATTGAAGTCATAGTTTAAAATCTTTCCACAAAGAAAGCTCCAGTCCCAAGTGGCTTCACTTGTGAATTCTACCAAGTATTTAAGAAAGTAATGTTATTAATTCTACACAATTATTTGAGAAAATAAAAGAGATGGAACATCTCCCACTTCATAGACCTAAAGAATTTACAAAAAAGCTACTGTAACAAGTTGTAGTGAGGTATAGTTTAAGAAAGTGACAGATACAGAGTCAATATATAAAAATCAATTGTATTTCTATGTCCTAGCAACAAATAATTAGAAATTAAAATGAAAATATCTCATTTCAGCTGATTAAAAATAAAACAGTAGAAATTTTATAATTAGATTGCCTGGGTATAAATCAGAGCCCTACTATCATTTACTAGATATATGATCTTTAATAAAATTTAAAATTTTCCCATGGCTCAGTTTCATCATTTTGAAAACATATAATTGCACCTGCACCTATAGACTTGGTAAGAAAATGCATGGAAAGTCTTCTTTGCTCAGAGTAACCAATATCAACTGTGAGCCATCAGAAACACTGAATAACCTGCTGAGGTCAGGCCGTGTTGTCCCTTCTCTGCTCCAGCCCGCCGCGCCCCCCCCGCCCCACCTTGTTTCTCAAATGCATCCTCTGGAAAAGTAAGTACCCCCATTTCACGGAGCGGGGAAGTGCCTCACCTAAAGACATGGTCTAACTCGGCACTCACGCATTTGGTCAGTACTGCCCCTGGTGGAGAAGAGGGTGCTAGTGGGCACCATTCCCTCAGGCAGGCTCAGGAGTTGGGGGGAACTTGGACACAGGTCCCACAGGGCTGTTTCTGCTGCAGACATGGACATCCCGCTCCCTGATGAAGTTCTATGCTGTAGTGGCTGCCTCACCCACATCCTGGGAGAGCCACAAGATCGCAGAGAGGATCGAGCAGCGAATCTTGAACTCCAACCCTGTCATGGAAGCTTTCGGTGAGCTCAGTGTCCTCTGCACAGGACTTCAGTCCCATTTCCTCTGGGATTGCCACCTTCCAGGGAAAGGAGCAGTGAGACTCTCTCTTTGGGGGTTGAAGGATGAGTGTATCATTCACTGCCTTGAACCCCCAGCCTCTTCCCAGGTATCCTTAGCTTCTTTCCAGTAGAGTTACCATCATTTGGTCATCCCCTCCATCTAGCCTAGGCAGATTTAACAGTGATACTGGAGAGGACTTTGTTGCTCACCTAGTCCAAGTCTTGTCCTTCCATACAATTTCCTGATAGTTCAGAGAAGAAGGGGAGTTGTCTAAGGTTGGACCACAATTAGTGTCCATGTCGAAACTCTATGTTGTGCCTTACTGTCTAACTCAATAGTGACAGTTGTTGTTTTTGACTCTTTCTCTTTAAAGACGACAGCCCCTGGCTGCCTAGCCTTGCTCATTTCAGTTCATTGCCAGGAAGTTCTAACTCTTCTGATCACACTTTCCGAAGCCCAAGTGCCCTTTCCCAAGTGTCCTCTGTGACATGGAAACCAATAAAGGGGCCTTTAGGTGACTTGAGGTTAGAGACATGACCCCAGTAGACCTGCGGCCACCTTGACCCATAAGGATTCTATAAACATAGGGGAGTGGTATAAACAGAAGTGTGATCTGTAGGGAATGCGTGCACGCTGAGGAATAACAACAGCAGTCGCTTTGGGAAGTTCATCCAGCTCCAGCTGAACAGGTAATTGCTGCTGCCACCCTGGTTGAAGGGAGGATGGGCAAGGAGTTTGCAAGTGGCTGGGGCAGTCTTCAGCCTGTGCCACCCCTATGGGCAGAACCCTGTACCTCCTGGCATGCACGTACGTGGGGATTCGTTAGGTGCAATGAACCCCAAGGTTGAGCTTTGAACCAAAAGAACTATAACTACTTCAGCCTGAGGGCCCCTGGGGCAGTGTGCTTGTCACCTCCTCTGTATTCCTTCTGACTTCTACCATTGCTTGGGAACTTGTAGTTAAACAGCTCCCTCTCTAGGCCACACCTCTGAGCTTGAAGCTGGGGCTTCTGCTCCTGCCTTGGGATGAAGCAAAATGTACTAAAGCCTTGCCCCCACCCACCTGAGCTGCTCGCAAGAAAATGTCCCAGAACCCCCAAGTACCTATTGAGTGGTCCCTAGTCCTCATGAACCCCATTGGATAAGTTGAAGAGCTTGGGGGCATTGCAAGGTTGTGGTCTGACACACAGTATGTGCCTAATAAATGGTTATGGAATTAGTGGGTAACTAATGGGCTCTGGCCTGCTTGTGCCCAGGGCCCAGCAGATGACCGGAGCCGCAGTCCAGACCTACCTCCTGGAGAAAACTCGAGTGGCCTGCCAGGCGTCCAGTGAGAGGAACTTCCACATCTTCTACCAGGTCTGTGCCAGGTGGGGTCCACAGCTACCCAGATGCAGGGCAAAGATGAGTCTGCCTCTCTTTCCTGCCCACCCTCCCCGCAATGCCTCATGCCTGCCTCTTCACCTGGCTTTCAGTGATGCCATCGCTTATTCCTACAAACTATGCAACACTGCCTCACGCTGGTCCTTGGTTCCCAGGATGGTTTTGGCATGATGGTGTGTTTAACACCCTCAATCAGACCAGAGGTACTGAGGACTCTCTTTAGAATGGCAGCTGTCTCCATCAACAGAATGAGGACTTCCTTGGAGCTGTTCCTCTTCCATAAAACTGGGGGTCCCCCAAGGCATGGATAGTATGTCTCCCTGCTCTAATATTGGGACTGGGGGCTCCCCAGACAGGAGTTTTGCTTTCCTCATCAGACCACAGGCCCCCTCAGCAGGGTGTTTTGCATCAAGTTAACATCCCGAACTGTTTGCTGCTACTTTTGCCTCCATGTCTGCCCTGGGCGCTCTAGAAGGACCTCACAGTCTTGTGATGATGTGACTATTTCTCACTCCTCTCATCCCAACCCCAGGCCTGTGCAGTCCTGGGCTTCCCTCTCACCCCCTGCTCAGCCATCTGTACCCCTTCTCACAGATTTGCAAAGGAGCCAGCGTGGAGGAGAGGCTCCAGTGGCACCTCCCCGAGGGGGCCACCTTCTCCTGGCTGCCCAACCCAGAGAGGACCTTGGAAGGTAGGGGAAGCCTTACCTAGCACCCTGGGCTGGCCCAGCAGCACCCACCCACCTTCTGCTCAGGGCCTCCCTCATTCCCCTCACTGCCCCTGCTGACCTCTGTTCTTGACACTGGACTGTTACTGGATTCCTTTTCAGAGGATTGTTTCGAGGTGACCAGAGAGGCCATGCTTCATTTGGGCATTGACACTCCCACCCAGAACAACATCTTTAAGGTCAGAAGGAAAGCCATGGCACTTATATTTGGCAGAGGTGATGGGCAGCCCCTTCATAGGGCCCTTCTCTGAACTTGTCTCTTTTCCCAAGGATCTAAGACTTTGGGCCCCACTGTGCAGTCTCCAAGGGGGCCACAACCCCTGTGCGTGACTGAGTCTGGACAAAGGGTGGAAACCTGTGCTAGTATAGAACAGCACAGTGATTGACAGAGCTCAGAAGGCAAGGTGCCTGCGTCCGCTATTACTGCAATAATCAGAATAGAGAAATAATGCTGCACATATTTGTCTAGTATGTTAAAATTTAAAAATCATGTTTACACATCTTAACTCACTTGGTTTTTTTAGCAGTCTTTTGTGTTTGGAGATTATTCTCATTTTAAGCTTGAGAAAACTAGAGAGGTAAAGGGACCTGCCCAAGGTCAGACACCACTAAGCCACTAAGTGATATAGATAGAGTTAGTACCAGACGTAGCAATTCTGATTTCCCACTCTCCTCCGCTCCTCTCAGGACATAGTGCTGAGCCAGGTGAGTTGGGGCTCCTCACTCCCCGTAGGGGCCTCCGTTCTCCCATCCTTCTTTATTGACTACCTCCCTGCCCACTCACTTCCTCACCCACCAGAACAACAGGAGAGTGTAGATAGGATATGCTGGCGGCAGAGACAGGAAAGCCACTGTGGGGAGATGGCAGTGCAGTAGAAAGTGACCTCTACCTCCAGATGGGGGCTGCTCAGGCAGAGAGGGGATCATGGCCAGTATGGGCACCGCCAGGCAAGCAGTTGGCCAGAGGGACAGCACAAGTGGACAACACTAGGAGTCTGGACAGGAGTGCTGGCTTGGGGATGGCATGACCCTCTGCTCCAGCCACACTGCCCATTGGGCACAGCAGGCTTCTTTCTACAGCCCCAGAGGGCTCATTCATGTGGATTGTTAAGGCCAAGAGGGCCCTCACTGTATAAACCAAGGTTACAGATCCTCCCCCAGGGCTGCGCTCTCAGAGCCCAACAATGCTGAGAAAGGGCCAAAGGGAGCCTGAGCCAAGCCCCACAAGCCATACAGAAGTAAGCCTGCTCTACAAGAAGCAGGAGTATGTCCCACACTGGCTGCCCTGGGAGGCATTAGAAGTCAGACTAACTGGGTTCTCATTTAACCTCTCCCCTTCTCGTCTCTGTCATGGGCATCATCAGGACACATGCCTCAACGGATGTTGAAAAGATCAAACTCTTGTTTGTAATGTGAATAGAATCATATCTGACAAAGTCATGTAATAAGTAG